CTCACCTCACTGAGAGTCAAGAAGACATTGTGGAGGCTCAATATTGACTTTGACAGTGACACGTTGTATTGTATCTAAACATTGTGTTGTGTTGAAGGTGCTGAGGACACTGGCCATGATCATGCAGGAGTGTTGGCACCAGAACCCTCACGTCAGACTCACCTCACTGAGAGTCAAGAAGACATTGTGGAGGCTCAATTCTGACTTTGACAGTGAAGCATTGTATTGTATCTAAACATTGTGTTGTGTTGAAGGTGCTGAGGACACTGCCCATGATCATGCAGGAGTGTTGGCACCAGAACCCTCACGTCAGACTCACTTCACTGAGAGAGACAATGGAGGCTCAATTCTGACTGTGACAGTGACACGTTGTATTGTATCTAAACATTGTGTTGTGTTGAAGGTGCTGAGGACACTGGCCATGATCATGCAGGAGTGTTGGCACCAGAACCCTCACGTCAGACTCACCTCACTGAGAGAGACAATGGAGGCTCAATTCTGACTGTGACAGTGACACGTTGTATTGTATCTAAACATTGTGTTGTGTTGAAGGTGCTGAGGACACTGGCCATGATCATGCAGGAGTGTTGGCACCAGAACCCTCACGTCAGACTCACCTCACTGAGAGTCAAGAAGACATTGTGGAGGCTCAATTCTGACTTTGACAGTGAAGCATTGTATTGTATCTAAACATTGTGTTGTGTTGAAGGTGCTGAGGACACTGCCCATGATCATGCAGGAGTGTTGGCACCAGAACCCTCACGTCAGACTCACTTCACTGAGAGAGACAATGGAGGCTCAATTCTGACTGTGACAGTGACACGTTGTATTGTATCTAAACATTGTGTTGTGTTGAAGGTGCTGAGGACACTGGCCATGATCATGCAGGAGTGTTGGCACCAGAACCCTCACGTCAGACTCACCTCACTGAGAGTCAAGAAGACATTGTGGAGGCTCAATATTGACTTTGACAGTGACACGTTGTATTGTATCTAAACATTGTGTTGTGTTGAAGGTGCTGAGGACACTGGCCATGATCATGCAGGAGTGTTGGCACCAGAACCCTCACGTCAGACTCACCTCACTGAGAGAGACAATGGAGGCTCAATTCTGACTGTGACAGTGACACGTTGTATTGTATCTAAACATTGTGTTGTGTTGAAGGTGCTGAGGACACTGGCCATGATCATGCAGGAGTGTTGGCACCAGAACCCTCACGTCAGACTCACCTCACTGAGAGTCAAGAAGACATTGTGGAGGCTCAATATTGACTTTGACAGTGACACGTTGTATTGTATCTAAACATTGTGTTGTGTTGAAGGTGCTGAGGACACTGGCCATGATCATGCAGGAGTGTTGGCACCAGAACCCTCACGTCAGACTCACCTCACTGAGAGTCAAGAAGACATTGTGGAGGCTCAATTCTGACTCTGACCCCAATATCAAAATTATTTAGTATATCAGGTTTATTTTGAAAAAAAAGGTACTTCTATTATTTTTAAGAATTTAATATTAACACGGTCATTGTAATGTCCCTAACCATATCTGGTGTATTAACAATAACAATGTAAATTAAGGTTATTTTTTGTATCGATACAAGGCCTATTCCAGATCATCGGGTGTGTGATACCTATGGTCCAGTGGGGTTGTCTATTGTTTTATAAAACTACGGTAACTGACTCTGTGATAAATGGAAGCACATTTTGAAATAGCGGTTGATCTGCATATTTATTCTGTTGTAAGAATACGGCACAAGTTGTTACAGCACAAAGATCTTGTTTTATATTTGCATTGTTGTTCAATTCTGTATATTGCTATCAGCTTTAGAAAATGTAGAAAGCGAACCCTACGATAATGAAAATCCTCTTTTGTAATTAATTTAACTGTGTTATTTGTATATTTGACTATTGAAAAAAGTTTTGAAGAATTTTGTTCACTGAATGAAGGGAAGGTAAATTTAAAAATATAGATTTGTTAATATTTCAGAATGTAATTTTTCAACAATGGTGATAATATTTTAAAATTTAATTTTTAAGGGATGGAAAAGCAAGAGTTAACTCTTTTGCTATTATTTTCTTTGCTATAGCATAAATGAATATACTTAGGTTGGGGAAAATGCTTTAAGAAAATTTTAAATCTGTTAATCAGGTTTTCAGTTTTCAACTTAGACCATTGTAATTTAAGATTGGAAATAAAATTAATAAGGTAGTTCATGGTGATGAATGATGTACTATTTTTAGTATTGGTTTTGGTATATAAAATTATTTTCTGATAGCCTTTATCTGCACAACACTATTCTTGATTACCTAATGGAAAATTCACATGTTAAACCATTCTATCAATCTCAGAGGGCAATCATTTTTTTTAATTTCTCTTTTTAGCCCTAGGTACTTTTTTTATTTTACTTACTTTCTCACTGCAATAAAACTAACAGTTGAACTCGGGGTCCCGATGCGTCAACTGAAGCTTGCTTAAAAAAAACCAACGGTAAAAGAACTATTGATTAAGACATTCTAAACGAATAGTTCATCAATCATATAACACCGTAACATTCCAAGCATTGCCAAATGTGTTATCTGAGTCATTCAGTCCAGTTCAGCCAATAATTTCCTGTCTTACGAGTCTGCGACTCAGAAGGGTGATAATAAAGAATCCTTTGACCCAACGATCATGTGTGACAATGGTGTGATTTCATTTTTGTTCCGGAACAACAGGGTGCCAAAAAGCAGATGGAACTGCCATTTATGCCGCAAGCACGACCATTGCTGTTGGTATGAAACCCATGCTTGATTTTGATAAGCACAAGCCCTAAAATGGAAAAAAAATAACTGTGTCTGCGGGAACATCCTGTGGGAAACCAAGCTCAGCCTGGTCCTAGTGGATCATCCTAAGGCTCAATGGACACAAGTATATATATTCTTCTGGTTGTTTCTGGCTGGTGCATGGTGGAACAACCTGCTTTGAGATTATCTGGGGATTGCTCCTATTTAATTGAAACATCAGCTGTTAATAATAACAATAATTGAAAATACACCACACAGACGTATAGTTTTTCTTTCATTCCAAGCCGCTTTTCCAAATCAAGCAGGGATTTCATAATTTTGCAGCATAAATGGCAGTACCACATGGCCTCTGGTACCTTGGTAACTCAAGCACAATAAAAATAAAACCACACCATGGTATATAGGTGACTGTAACACATTATCTTTGGACCACATAACAACAATTTTTAGGCTCATCAGACCTTGGAGAACAGGCTGGGATCATAGAATGGAGCTTTGGAACTGGGACCATTTCACAATCGGTCTCAGAACTATTCTAGAGATGCAGCCTCCTCTATTTCTTCCTTTACTCTTCTTTCTTTCAAACTTTTAGATGATTTGAGAATTGCTCCTCTTCTTTAAATATAGCAGCTTGCATTTTATATTTATTAGAAAGGTCATAATCGACAGTAGATTTATAAAGTAACTAAAGTCTCTAACAAATTAAATCAACCAAATGTTAATCTATTTTTGTCATGGATAATATAATATTACATTTTGTTTAGTTTTCAATTGAAAACATTTTAAAATGTACTTCTACATATTGTATCTATTTAGTCCCAGTTAAATTAGTAAGAGTCAAAACTTAATTTCGACTGTGCAGATGAGCAATAACATGTAAAAGCATAAAAAAATAAAAATGCAAGCATTTAAACCAATATCAAACTATTTTTTCTTCGACCAAATCATGTAGATTTAAGTTTTTTTTTATTACCAGACATATTTTTTTACTTTAATACCAGGTTTTATAGAAAACAAAATCAATCCTCTGTAGATTATGTAAACAAATATTGGCTACGTTCCAAAAGCAGCATAATACTTTAATAACCGAGGATTTTATAAGGCTATTGACTAGTAAATATACATGTATATTATTCCCATATTTTAAATTAGAATAAGTTTTCAACTGTGAGAGAAAATGTTTTATATTTTCTGCTATGTGCAGCAGGGTATCACATATTGTAATAATTGAAAACATAATCAAATATCATATCTGTGTATTCCAAGAATTGTATGGAAATGTACAACTATCATAGGTTTACTTTGAAGTTTTGTTATTATTCAATAAATAGTTTAGAGTTTATGTAATAAACGACGATGAGAACCGACATTTCGTTTGCTATGCATATCAGAAGTCAATGGTATCAAGTTTTAAGGTGCCTTACAAGGCACACTGTTTTGTTTACGAAATGGGTAGTAAATTTATTACATTATTTTATATTTATAACTTTGCTCAATCTGCTTTATGTATAAAATAGATTTATAGCAATATATAGTTCTGAAAACAGTATTTGTTATTTTAAAGGTTATAGATAATGTTAAACATGTATATATATATTAAAATCAGTGTCCTTTTAATTTTGAATTTTTCTTTAGCCCTTATACGTCCAGGATTAAGGGGGTTGGTTGCTTTCAAGAAATGCAAGGGGTACAGTTAGATTCAAAACATAACTTGGATATTTTACTCATGATGGGTAAACAGTTGGAGCTACATTTATCTATTGATGGCTGGACATAACTATTGGCAACCAAAGACAAATGAGTTAACATTAAAACTGTCTTCGAGATTTGACCAAGCCAGTGTTGTATCTGGACACTGTGTCACTAGCTGGGCTCAAAGTAGACTTGCCACTTTATACTAGAAACTCCTCAGCAATGAGCATCTCTCTTTCTCACTCAACTCTGAAATCCGTGATTGTTTTTTAATAAAACGTTACGAATAGCCTTCTACTTTTTTACTAGTGACTCGTATACATGCATCTAGTTAGGACTGGCATCAAATAGGTGAGGGATCAGTTAAATATATTTCACTTTCCCACATAACAATGAACATTTCTGTTTATTGAAACTATGGTAGCTCAACAAATACAGCTTTAGTAGACCTTTTTACAATAATATGAAAAAAGTCACACAAAAAAATAAGATTTTTAATGTGAAACATTAAATTTTATAGGAATAAATAATTGCAGGATAATCTCTATACACACCAATCTTCTAAATACTATTAAGAACATCTGGTTAAAATGTCATTGAAAAATAATAAGTAAATTTAAAGTTATTCAAACTTACCTAAATGCAGTAAATGAAAAACGTAATTTTGAGAAAACGCCGTTTAAAGTTTTCATTTTACTTATTGTTGCTGGGCGCAACGATTCCAATTTTATTTAAAAAATCACTAAAAAAAATCTCCAAATCAAATAAAACTTTGCATACATGTTCAGTAATAATTAATTTAGGAATTTAAAATTGTCACTTGAAAAATGTCAAAATATTTTATAAAATGGCCTATAGATGGAGGCATATCCCCTTAAAACTTAAGCTGGGCCTTCCTAGGTGTGGAGTGCAGGGAAGCCATTTTCTGCTCGTCCACAGGTAGCAATAGGCCGCTCTCAATAGGCTTCTTCTTTGAGACAAGATGAGAGCGAACTCCGTTACTGCGCCTAAGTAAGAAAACCTACTTTTACTTTTCAAACCTAACCTTAGTATTCTTTAAAATGTAAAAGGGTACTGGTATTGCATTATTCGATTTACCTCGGAAAAAAGTTTTGAACTCTAATAAAAATGTAGAATTTGCTCATGTTTCCCCCCTTTATTAATTATAGTAGGCTATCATGATCCAAATTACGTTACAAGTCGGACACAGTTTTAAGCCATTTTCATTATGAAAGTTGTATATTACATCGATTAACTAAATACCCCCGCCGCAGCAAACCTGCAAATTTCCATTTACCTGTTTAGGTTTTCGATTAAATCAATTTAATAAACATTAGGTTAAACAAGTACCTAGGTCTGCTGCTACAGGGAGGGTAATAAAGTTAGTTGTTTGGTAAAATATGAATAGCTTAGTATAAAATAAATAAGTAGGCAAAGTTTGATCAAAATATATCAATAAACAAGCAAGCTATGACTTATTAGCCCTAAGAATAAATGGGAATTTAAAATTAACAATTTATTGAATGTTCTCTGTTACCAATAACCGTTCAAAAGACTTCAATATACTAAATTATTTGTTTTTTTTTAAGGTCTACAGAGAAATTGAGAAATTTTATGTTTTGAGGGTCAAAAATTAGAAAACCCTATTTTTACCCCATAACACCCCGTTCCCATAGTCCGATCATGCTGGTTCGCTAATTCATTCAAGTTCATCCCGCCCTACACTTTTGAGCCAAATTTCATCAAAATCGAAAAAAAAAATTACTTAAGTTATCGCGTTTACGGATGTATATATCGAAATGAAAAATTATATCGGTCCTGGGTCTAGGTCTTAACGTGCAACCTATGGTAATAGCTACTTCCCTATAGGGAGTAAAATTTAGTTTCTCATGTCTAGTAAGGCTGTTCAACACTTATTTACAGTTATCATTTATTAACGATAACACTTTACATTACCATTACACGTACACTAGACACAGAGGAACTTGAGTTTGATCACAGAAGTTGTCCTGGTCACGTAGAACATAGTTGGTCCAGCTCTTTGACTCGCTCTTCTAGTAGAGTTATCATGTCTGGTTCATGTTTCAGAATCTTGGTTGCCTCTTGTAGTAACTCGGTCACCTCTGTTAGGAGCTCCTGAAAAATAATCTGCATGAGCCATAGTAAGTAATATACTTGGTGTAGTTTGCGAAGAATTTGATCTTAGTAAAACATGAACTTCATAAATAAGATATTCCTAAGGAAAAAGATAAGTTGTAGATTTAAAAGTTATCTTATTTTGTTGGAAAAATACATTTAGTTTGTCTAAGAATATTTGAGTACCCAGATGAATTGACAAACAATGGTATTTTTGCATACCACTATTAAATCCTCTAGTGCACTCTTATAGTCTTCTTATGTCTTCTGAATATTTTTGTATTTTTCTTTAGTACGGTATTCAATAATTTATACAAACCACTTCAGTTTCATAATGCACAGAATCAAAGAGTTGGACACTTTTTATATTTCGGGTTTCCTTGTGACCCGATTATGTTGGGACTTAACTCTACTTTAGTGTACTGTTAGTGTTAATAAAAAACACAATCATGATTAATAATATCACAAACCTGAGCTTTGTCTTTGGTGATAAGGTCTTTCTCAAACTCCGCCTTGACCTTGACGACCTTTATTGCTTGAAGATCGTACAGCAAGGTGCCTCGGAACCTGGTCATTCCTGGATCTAGTTTATCAGCCAAGTCTAGCAAGTCATTGCAAATAGACTCTGCGTAGTCCAGCTGCTCTGATGATAACTCTGTAAAAAGAAATGTGTACATTTGAATGGTGAAAAGCTAGGAATTTCAATTAGTTTTGTTTGAAAAAATCCAACTTGAAGAGAGTGACGTCTTGTGGTTTCAAGACTATTATTTCAAAAGGTATCCAAGCTACTTGTCATGTATTTTTTTTTAGAACCTTCTTACAGAGTTGGGATCACAAGAATTCATGGAGTATATTTTACTCCTGTGCAAAATTATCAGTAGGCCTATGTTAACACGTTCACTGCGGCATACAACAAACAGGTGCTCGCCAATGGCGCCGATGCCCGGGCAAAGCCCCGGCACGTCACCGAATCAGCGATCGCAATTGGCATTCAAATATTTCCATATGAAGAATCACAAAAGAGCAGCAGTGATTGTGATGCGTTGCCGTGAGAGTAGATGTAGTTCACTGAAACTCCCAAAGGAAGCAGCACTGCCTGGATCCGAAACCAGTGTCTTTGTAATGTGGCTCAAAGAGAGAATATTCCCGAAACCGGGACTATTAAAGCATTGCCAGACGGGATTTCACAGGAAAATTTAGTACCAACCTATCAAAATAAAGCTTGCATTCTAAGCTACAGGCTGGCAACAATTATAATGTTCCTCTGGCAACAACGGGGCTCAAAATGAACCAATGTATTGGAAGGGACCCAATGACTGGTAAACCCTTCACGCGCACCCAAGAGTAGTTTCGCATGACGGGTTTCCGCAGTGAACGTGTTAAGAGAAGACAAATATTATTTTCTTAAGAAGTTGTATATTCAAATTCTATGAGTAATTCAATGGTAAGGTTAGATTAGAGTATAGGGCTATTTCATTGGCTTGGTGGAACTGTTTATGTTAGGAGAGGTTGATGAGAGAATGGGTGTCTGTTACTAGGAGTGGTTGAAAAATTCCTCAAGAGTGTAATAGGCTATGCTTTTTCTACTAAAACTGTTTTGATTTGGTCTGTAAATTTTGCTAAGTTTAATTGCTTTTTAAGGAGTTTGGAATTTTATTGTAAATTTTTAACCCCATAGAGAGGACTTGTTTCATATTTTTTTAAATTATGAGTGGTGTATTGAAAAATGTCTTGTCTTCGGGTATTATATGAGTGATTACTAAGAACATTTTGAAACATACCAGGATTTCCATGAACCTTTTTTTAAATTTCAAAAACGTATATCGAAGTTAGAGTTAAAATTTTAAAATTTCGAAACAATTGTCTACATGATGTTTTTTTGGGGCAATTTGCAAGAGTTCTGATAATTGACTTTTGTTTTTTAAAAACTTTGTGGACATCTGTGTCCGTCCCCCATAATGTAATACCATAGCTTAAAATAGAGTACACATAAGCATGATAAACATTTTTACATACTTCCAAGGAGGTAACCTGAATTAAAACACTTAAAGCATATCTTGTTGGACTTTTGTTGGAAGTTTTTTGTTTAGAAAATGAATTTGCTCTGTCCATTGTAGTTTACTATCCAAATATATTCTTAAAAACTTTACTACATTTGTGGGCGAGGTATAGTAGTTTCTGTTCCAGTGGTTGAATTTCTCAATTTGAAAATTAAAACACTAGTTTTATCTTCATTCAAAAGTAAGCCATTTTTTAAAAACCAATTTGCTATTCCTCCAATTGTTTCTTTGACATAATTATGTAACATTTTAACAGTACTTCGTCGGATGAGAGCTGTTGTATCATCTGCATAAAGGGTAAAGTTACAGATTTGACTTGAAAAAAGAAAAGGTAAATCATTAATATATGTGAGGAATAAGAGAGGACCTAGGATTGAACCTTGCGGAACTCCATAGTTATTATTTGCCCAAGAAGATATTTGTTCCCAGAGGCGGTTTTAATTACTGTTCTTTGTTTTCTATTGTTTGAGTAAGATTTCAAAAGTTCAATTATTTGTCCATGAAAACCAATTGCTGTAAGTTTTTCAATAAGAATTTTGTGATTAACACAGATTTGTCGATTTTGACATGCATGGTAGTCACCAAAAAACCACGATTCTACAAAGTGACTGTGGAAGCCTATCCAGGATGGAATGGTACATTTAAAAAAATCACACTAGACACCACAGTACATCAGATTTCTATAGAATACATTCACAAAACTTAAAGACATAATTAAACAATGCTTCAACAATACATTTAAATACTTCACCATAATATCTACCGCAATTACATTTAATTAATTGTACACAAGTAAACACTACGATTATACATCAACACATCTAACACCACCAAAATATAAACATTCTCCACATAATGGTGATTTGTACATACTTAAATAACTTACCATTACAATATTGTTTGGTCATAATGTATCCGATTGTTCTGGAAGAAAAATCATACTTTAAATTGATCTGTAGATTTTGACCAGACAAAACAACCAAACATGAGTTGTGCTTGTGCACTTTTAACCACCAGGAATTTAAATACATTAGGTTGGACGAGTACTTAAGTTTGCAGATTTGACAAATCAAACTTGTTTCAAACTTGAATCAAGTATTTTTTGCTATCTGGGTTAGGTTTGCTGCTAAAAAAAAAGAAAAATAATAAGGCATGTTTTTTGGTAGAATTTTAGTGTAGGTTAGGATGAAAAAACCAATTTGACAATTTCACCAAACTATATCCATAAACAAGCAAACTACAACAGTTTACTTATCCTCCGTAAAAATAGCATGGAAATTTTTTATTTACAATTTTTTTAACTTTCTCAGTAATCTTTAAACTCTACACCTCAAGATACTAATTTATTTGTTTTAGAGCTACATATTCAAAATGGAATAGGGAAAACTTTTTGAGATAAAATAAGTATAGAATTACACTAAATGATATTCAAAATATAAAAGAACCATTTTTATTGAATTCTTAAACACATCAAACTAAGCAGAATATTTACTAACAAACTTAATAATAATAAATCAGCTGATGTATTAATTACTTATACATTTAACTATCTAACACTTTTCCCCTCTTTCTTTTTACACGGATTCAACAGCTCCCATTCTTTGTCTCATCTGGTCCGCATGTTTCCTTTTTATAACACCTCCACAAAGTACATCATATGAGTACAGTCCATTTTTATTTTACACCATTCCAGATGACCAACCATTTCTATGTTCATTCTTAATCCACACATCTTCTCCCTCTTCAAAAGTTCGAACTTTTTTGTTGTCCCTCCCTTGTTCTTTCCAAAGCTTCATCTCCATCTTTTTCCTAAGATTAGGTTTCATATTGTCAAAAATTGTTGGTAGTCTACGACCGAGAAACAATTCTGCAGGAGCCCTACCAGTTGTTTTCTGAGGCGAGTTTCTGTAGCTAAAAAGAACATTTTGAAGAGCTAGCATTCCATCTCCAACATCCTGCTTTGTTGTGTAGAACCGTCTTTTCAAAGTACGAATTAGTCTTTCCACAAGTCCATTACTTTTAGGATGGTAAGGAGTTGTTTTTATGTGGTTGATAGAATTTTTCTCAAAAAATGTTTCCATTTCCTTTGATACAAATTGAGGTCCATTGTCTGTCACAATTTCACTTGGTATTCCATATCGACTAAACCAAGATCTCAATCGTTGAATGATTGTTGAAGAGTTTGTTGTCTTGAGACAGTCCACTTCTGCCCACTTTGACAAAGCATCAATACCTACCAACCACATAGATCCGTTGACTGGCCCTGCCAGATCAATGTGTACCCTTTCCCAAACTCTATCAGGTATATTCCAAGGATATAATGGTACTTCTTCCACATTATCTCGATTCTCTTGACAAGATGTGCACCTCTTGATATAAACTTCTATATCTTTATCCATGTTGGGCCACCATACATAGTGTCGTGCTACAGACCTCATTGATACAATACCAGGATGTCCTGTGTGCAATATCTTCAGAACATCAGTTCTCATGCATTCTGGAACTACAATTCTTCCAAACCACAATAATATGTCATCTTCAACACTCAATTCATCTTTCCTCTGTTTGTATGACTTCAACATTTCAGGAACAACAGGGGGCCATGTATTTCTCAATACAAAGTTTTTTGCCATTTTAATTTCTTTATCTGTAAATGAATTTTGTTTCAAGAGGTCATAAGACATGATAGAGTTAACCTTATCAACATTCAAAAAGCCAATGTGAGCCTCCTCAGGTTGATCTTCTTCAATCGGAAGTCTTGATAGAACATCAGCACACACATTATCTTCTCCTTTTCTGTACTCTATATCATAGTTGTATTGATTCAACTGGAGAGCCCACCTCACTAAACGGCTATTTACAACTTTTGGAAGATCTCGCATATTTCCAAATATCCGTTGTAGAGGTTTGTGGTCGGTTACTAAAGTAAACTTCCGACCATATACATATTGATGAAATTTCCTGAGTCCAAACATAATAGCTAGCGCTTCTCTGTCGATATTTGAATATTGTTTTTCAGCGGGCAATAGTGTACGACTGGCAAAAGCAATTGGTCTTTCTAATCCATCTTCATATCTGTGCATTAGTACACTTCCCAATCCATTTTCTGATGCATCACAGACCATTTCTTCGTATGGCACTACTGTGTCTTTACTTGATAGAATTTCTTTTACTCTTTTAAATGTCCCCTCTTCTTGTTCGGACCATTTCCATTGCGATTTAGTCCCAGTCAGCTTATGGAGATCACTGCAAATGGCATGAAGTCCCGGAATAAATCGTTCATAGTAGTTAATAGAACCTAAAAATGATCGGAGTTCCTTGACATTAGTAGGTGACCGTGCTTCTCGAATGGCTTTTATTTTTTCTTCAGTAGGATGTATTCCATTCCGGTCGATTGTATGTCCCAAGTAAGTCACCGACTCTTCAAAAAATTTGCATTTACTAGACTTTGCTTTTATACCAGCTTCTTTCATTCGTTTCAAAACTTCTCTCAAATTTCGTAAATGCTCGTTCTTATTCCTTCCAGTTATTATAATATCGTCCAGAAGAACTCCAACCTGTGGTATCCCAGCTAAGAGTCTTTCCATATATCTTTGGAAAATACCTGGACTAGATGATATCCCAAAAGGTAAACGTTTGTATTTATAGTAACCACTATGCGTTGCTATTACTAAATACTTTCGGTGTTCTTCTGCAACCTCCATTTGTAGGTATGCATCTCGTAGGTCTATCTTGGAAAACTCTTGTCCGCCTGCAACTTTGTTTGTTAGTTCCTCAAATGTCGGAATAATTGCATTTTCTGGGACCAAATTTTGATTCAAAGTGACTCGGAAATCTCCACAAATTCTTATTGAACCATCATTCTTCTCTACATTAACTGTTGGGGTAGCCCAGGGAATAGGTGTAGCAGCAGGATCTACCTCTTCAATGATATCCTCATTTACAAGTCTTGTAAGTTCATTTTCAATTCGTTTTTTCAAGGGAAACGGAACCCTGCGCGCTGAAAAATGTTGAGGGTTTGCATCTTCTCGAACGTGAATTCGTGCTTTATAACCCTTGATTTTCCCATGCCCTTCAGAGAACACATCTTCAAATTCTTTTAGTACTTCCTTAACCCTCACATCATCCATCTTATATTGATTATGATTCTGCTTACATTTTACTTTATACTAATAGTAACATCAGGAGGGAGGTTCATATTAAAGGCTAATATCCATGGTAAACCAAACAGCGGTTTCTCATTTCCATTTACTACTGCTACTTTTAATCTACGTTTCTCATCACCTACTGTAACATTGACATAACATTCACCAAGTATAACTAAAATATTGTTTCCATATGCCACATATTTTGAATTAGTCTTATCAAGTCTTGGTGAACCAATTTTCTCCCAAAGAGGCTTACCTATCATTGAGGCCCAAGCTCCAGAGTCAAATTCCATGTTTGTAGCTACCTTATTTAACTTTAAATGAATACGTGCTTTACAAATATGTCTTCTTTCCTTTTTAACATCGTTTATCCTCATGTCATGTGAGTCCGATTCAGATTCTTCATCTTCTGACTTTTCATGCAAATTATTCACTCGTTTTTGCCGACATACCTTTGCAAAATGCCCTATTTTTTTACAATTCAAACACTTTTGTTGATAGGCTGGACATTTACCAAATTCATGCTTTGTTCCACATCTACTACATGGATGATTTGTCTTTTCATTGTATTTCACTTCTCTTTTAAACTCCTTATTGTTTCTTCTTACTTGTGATACTTCCAACTCTTTATCATTATTCTTGAATATCTCATGACGAGCTCTTTCCATTGAAGTGGCCAGTTCAAAAACATCTTCAGATGTTAACTTGTCACCATTTTCTTTTACCCCATCAGGCCATCGTTGTCTAATTTCTACTTCAAACTCTGGAAAATTTATACCTCCAGCAAATCTGTCTCTTATTCTTTCATCAAACTTGTTCTCATACTTACAAAAATCTGCTAAATTTTTCAAACGTATTACAAATTCTGAAAGACTTTCACTATTTTCTCTGATACTTTTATCAAATTCCATTCTAGCTGAAAATAAAGTTTTACTAGCTTTGTATACTGACCTGAAACCATTAACTAGTTCTGCCCACGTAGCCTGATGTACTTTTAAAGGCAGCAGAAAGTTTGAAACTTTTCTTAATGGTGCAGGACCCACATAGGCAAGCAAAAGATCCCTTCGAGCATCCTCTGCTCTCTGAGAATCTTCTCCCAATCCTTTTACCTTGCATAACAATAGAAAATGTGCTTCATAATCATCCCACCTACTAGACTCATCATAGCTTTGACATTTGAACTTCTCTATCTTTGATTGCAATGCGTCTTCTTTAGTTTCATACTCATCTTCTTCATTGAAATAACTATTTCTTCTTTTGGTTCGTTTACTCATCGTCGCCAATATAAAATTACACTAAATGATATTCAAAATATAAAAGAACCATTTTTATTGAATTCTTAAACACATCAAACTAAGCAGAATATTTACTAACAAACTTAATAATAATAAATCAGCTGATGTATTAATTACTTATACATTTAACTATCCTAAGAAAAATCTATTTTCTCTCCATAAAACGCGGTTCACATAGTCCGATCGTGCTGGTTTGTGAACTTGTTCAAATAAATAAAGGTATACACGTTTGTACCCAAGTCCATTAAAATAGCATAATTTTTACTCCAGTAACGGTTGGTAGTTATGCTAATAATGTACACACACACATATATTAACATGCCCTCAGGCATTATGGCATTATTATGGAGGCATTATATGGTGCCTTTGGAGACTTATAAAATAATGAAAAAAAGTAAATCGGTCCGGGTGCAGGTCTTACCATGAAACATAGGTACGTAAAAGCTTATTCCCTATATGGGAAATTTGCTAAAAACAAAAACCTAACAGGTATGACTTATTTTTCATTGATACATTTTAGTATTCATGTTTTTAGTATCATTATTAGATTTTTAAGGTTGCTTGTAAATCCCAGTGTCATATTCCTGCCATTGAAAACCATAATTTGGTTAGCAGTAAAGCTGCGTAAGCTCCACCAAACGAACACATATAAGGATACATTTGCTTCTGATATGAACAACATCGTTCCACCAAGGGTTCTCTTAAGAGTGTGAGTTATCAGGATTCCCAGGCCTAGGTAGACACATATTTCTGCTTCATGAACTCAAAAGTGGTGGGGGAATAAACCTTCCGAGCAAACAAAGGATACTACTAAAGCTCTTTTACACTATCGTTGTATATCTAAAATTATGGAGAGTCAGATTATGAACTATTAATTTTTTCACACATACACTTGTGGGATTTTTTGTATTTTAAGATAATACGCTAGACATTTTTCAGAAATCGTTGATCTGTTGTTAGAAGTCATAAAAAATAATAGTTCAAGATGAAACACAAAGTATTAAAACTTTTAGCTAATTCTGACCCCAAGACCCCAAGTAAAAACATATTGTATTGTGTCCCAAGGAACCAAAGTTCCTTATTGAGTAAACTGCACATCAAATAAAAGAAATAACTAACTCTAATATAAGCATTACTGGTAAACTTACCCGAAAGGTGAACTCCATAAAGCTGAATGAGAGCATGTTTTGCTTGAATAATGTGACAGTTTGTTGGGTGCAACACTGATCCCTCGTCTTTCAAATATTTATTCACAAGAGCTTCAAGAATTGGAATGGTTTTGCCCGTGTTTTCTAGTTCCCTCTTCAGAGCTTCATTGCCGAAAGCCATTTGCTTGGTGTTAATCAAATGTGAACACTTGTGACATTTCCATCTTGAGCTGGGGTCTAGAGGATCTTCGCACAACATGTATCCTTTACACTTTGAACACAAGATGCAGCTGATGAAAGTGTTAAACTCTGTGGGATCAACACATCTTTCACAGTCACAGTCGAAACACTTTGAAATCTTTAGATGTTGTCTTCTCTCCTGGGTGCTCCACAAAGTTTGTGTGTAAGTCGCATTGATTATCTCACCTTTTTTTATGTCGGTCGTTGCCATGACCACCATCGTAAAGTCATCTCCTACGAAGAAATGTTTAGTGTTGGGTTTGCAACTGTGAGACATCATCGCTGCTTTCGGGTACAACCCTCTTATCCTGATATTTCCTTTGTCTCTCCTTATTTCAAACGAGTTAGTATCCAACACTGCAGCCACCTTCAATATTGTCTCCTCATTGTATTGAGTCAAACCTAGAGCTTTATGTAAATACCCTACAATATTGATCCTGAAAACATTGTAAAGAGTTGTGTTTATCAACACTTCCAAATTTGATTCTAAAGAAAGCAATTCATTGAGTTTTTCAGGCGGAAGAAGGAAACACCTAAGAGGCACAATAGCACAGTACGCTGGAACCTTTTGTTCTTCCTCTTGGTATTTGATCACAGTTTTGTGCTTACTCTTTGCTAAAACTGCACATTCTGCTTGGTGCACAGGACTCTTTTCACATTTTGGGGAACACAAAGGCCAATTACACTTTCTGCAGTAGTAGAAACTTTTGAGCATTTCATCGTCGACGGAAGAGCCGGTTAGTTTGCAATGGCAGCCGAGACATTGAGCGAATGCTAGGACTTTGGGGCCACACACCAATGGCGACTCTTTGAGAATAACTTCTCCTGCTGTTATGTTCCTTAGAGCAACCATGTGTCGGCCCAGTTTGCTGGATGTGGCGACCTCGAAGCATTTACATTCGTTCTTGTGTGTCTTCCAGTGCTGCTTCTGGTGGTTCTTGTTGCAGTAGTTCACTGATTTACAAACAGCACAGCGTTGACTCGCTGGCTTGCTACAGACTGCACATGAACCAGCCATGCTTGTGTATTAACTGAAACAAATGTTCAAGTCAGTACTTGAATAATACTGAAGAGGACATGTGGATGAGTTTTTGTCCCTATTTATAGGTACCAGAAGATATGACATTCTTCTATTTTTGTGTCATGTACTACAAATTTTTTTAAAATCTCAATGGTTTTAGTATATTTTTTTTACTTTTTAGAATGTTATAAACCAAACGTTAAGAGGTCAGGTTTCATAATAGTTTTACAAAAGAACTAGAGCTCGCCCCGTGGTTGAAAACTCGACAAAAAAGTATGTGTTGTGCAAACTTCTCTATTTTCACCCCACGCTATAAATAAAACATGTGATTGGAGTTTCTTCCATTTGGTTTGATTTTCTGTTTATATTTTGTTGTTATTTCGTCTCCAAAATGGCTACCCATAAAGCCCATTTTAATTATTTTTTTATTTCAAATTCTTTTTTTTTGCATATTTTTGAGCCTATTTCAATTTGAAAAAGAGATTCTGCACATATACAGGCAAATATCTTCTAACTGTATGCGTAGATTTTTCCTGCGATGCACAGCAGTTGAGGAAAAGGTTTTCAATAAACATGCTTGTCTATTAAGATATAGAATTAGTCCCATGTTAAATATCCGTAAGAAAATTTGAATTTCATTTTTGACCCAATTAACATAAATACTGTATTCACAAAATACAAATAAAACCTGCACATATAGGACTGATAACCTTTCTTTTGGTACAACCCGATTGTAAATCGGTCCAGTACTATGATCAGGGTGACTATCGTAAGCTTAAAAATTTGGCCCCCTGTTAAATCTCCATAAGAAAGGTTTGATTTCTATTTTTGACCCAATTAACATAAACATTTTCAAAATACAAATAAAACTTGCACATATAGGACCAATAACATTTCTTTTGGTACAACCTGCGTGTAATTCGGTCCAGTTAGTATGGTCAGGCTAGCTGTCATAAGTTTTGCAAAGGTTTTTTAATATATAAGATGTTCCAAATCCTGGTCCATTCTAACATGTAGTACCTTTATTTAATTCATTTTTGAAATTACATTGGCAGCTTAACCTATGAGAGGGCCTTAACAGTTTCGGTATATGGTAATTTTCATCTAACCGTGTCTATCATTCCATACCCAGGGAATCATGAAGGAGTTCACTGCCATATAAAAATGAAACATAAATATCTCTTTAATATCAATAATAAGCATGTTTTGCAATTAATAATTGAGATCATGAAGATTCACAGGGAAATCAACACCTGAATCCAACATCCTACTTTATATTGTGGATACTCTTAAAAAAAGTAAAAGGACTCAATTTGTTATGAGGAAGTTGGAAAAAATGTGTTCCAGTAATGCAACTTTTTATTTGAATGATTTTGGGCAAAACAACAAATAAAATATAACACCATCAAGTGGTAAGAGATGATTATATATTGCTTTTCACTGCTAACCTGAGATTTTGATTAGACTATAATAATTAATTGTAACCATAGTAAAAAAAATTATCTAACAGCTTACAGTAAAAAAAATTCAAAAAGTTTAAGGTAAACTCCAAACAAAACATTTTCAAATAAACTAGCCTCAATTTCATGACAGAACACTATACAGTATAATATGGTTGAGCACCAACCCAATAGATTGAAGCAGGGTACCCTTTACTACTCTAACAACATCCTAAGGTCTTCTATATGCATCATCCATAAATAAAGTTAGTAGGCCTACATCTATTTTAATCTGTGTCGAAGAAGAGAAGTATTTGATTTGTGCTGGTGTAAATGTAAAATAAGTAAAAATACATATTTTATAAAATTTCCTGTAGGTACTAGTCTTATATACATTTTTTAAAGCGATTTGATTCAATATATATGTACCAGTTGTGAATTTTTTATTGTATTCTATATTGGGGAGCAAACACGGTTTAAATAATCATGTAAACAAAAATGGTAAATATAAAAAATTATCACACTGTTTAGAAAATATTCAATCGAAATTATATAATTTAAAACCAGTTTAATTTTGTATCAAAATGAAGTAAATTTCTGGGTGGTAATCTATACTATTATAAAAAAGAGGTGGTTGCTGTATGTGTGTATGTGTGTATGGGAAAAGTAAACTCGAAAAATACTGGTCGGATTGGGCTGAAATTTGGCATGATGATAGCTCACATTCCCGATTAACATATAGGCATATTCTTATTTCAAAAATCCTTTCGGGCTCCGCCCCAGTGGCTCTGGAGTTTCCCATGTTAACCTTATGAGAAATGGAATTATTGAATCTTAACAGCTGTTTCAATTAAACAAGTTGGTTCTGTTCTATGATGTTCAATAGCATTAAAGTTACAAGGATTACCAACAGGGTGCAGCACCATTATTTCTTTTACATTTATGACAACAGCTAATTTGCAACCAAAAGGTGAGTGAGCGTAGCGAACGAACTTCAACCTGGAGGCGAGTTAGCGTAGCGAACGAGCTAACCTGAGGGCAAGTGAGCGCAGCGAACGAGCTCCAACCTAAAGGTGAGTGAGCGTAGCGAACGAGCTCCAACCTAAAGGTGAGTGAGCGTAGCGAACGAGCTCCAACCTAAAGGTGAGTGAGCGTAGCGAACAAACTTCAACCAGGACGTGATTGAGCCATGCGAACGAGATAATCTTGAAAATTAAGAAGTTAAACGGGGCAAAGCCCGCGGGTTACAGCTAGTCTAGTTTAAAATTAAGTGTTTTCTAATTAAAAATTTTTAGCAATAAGCTAAACATAAAAAAACATAAGCTACTATGCAATAAACGTTTTTAAACGACTGGACAAACCTGAACAAAGTACAAACGATATCCTGGACAAATAAAAAACACATACAAACAACAAATTGCAATTCACCTACCTTTTCTAAACTAAAAGTGACTCATACCAAGCGAGCCTGAGCAAAGTCCAACATGAGGTTAGAATGTCGGGGTGACCAGACTAAATTCTGAATACACTGGGTATATTTAGCCTGGCACGGATTTCTCAACAGCTGATCCCTGGGCAGGAAATAAATTTTAGCCATTTGGGAACAATAAAACAATATATGCATTGGGAACAAAAGATATAGGTCAATTAATCAATGGGGTTTCCATTAATGTCTCTTTGAGTGACTGGGCCAAGTTAAATATCACAACAGGTTATTGTTGACTGGAAGTTCATTTGTGAGTTGTAGTTGACTTTGCAGAGATTAATCACATACCTCCACTATCAGCAACCAATGTTGTTCAGGTGAAAAGATTTGAAAACTACTTACTTATTTTGGGATGTAAACACCTTTTGTGCTTTGCTTTACACTTTGCTTTTTTCTCCAAATCAAGCTGTGTGTACTTTAAAATAAATAAATGAATAAATAAACGTAATGCAGAGAAATATTTGTTGAAACTTCATACATTGATTCCAATAAGAGTTTTACCGATTAACAACTCCTTTTAATAAATAAATATAATTCAAACTATACACCATTACACAAGGACAACTACACAAGGTACAAGGGGACAAGAAAAAAAAATCATCAGAAGTAATAAGGAATTTTACATTGTATTTTTCTTATATATATACAACTAACCTGTGTTAATCTTGTTGTCGAATCTTGCAATTTAGTGGGTTAACAACTGTTGGCGGTTCCCAAGAAAATTTAACTCTTTTAGTCCCTTATTCTTCTTGGTGTGTAAAAAATCAGACATATTTCAGTTGAAAACTCTAAAGGCCTCAAAAAGATTTTTATTTAGATTTGGCCTGGGCACTAAATCTTTTGATTAATACTATTGTTATCCCTCTAAAGCCAATAAAATGATAGTTGGAAAAAGTAATAAACCTTATATTTTACCCATGAAAATAGTAAAGATTCTCTATATAACTATTTTTTGCTTCTTCAATTACTAGTATAAAGTTCAATTGGAAGTATCAGTTAATATGTGATTACAAATTATTATTACATTATATAAAAATAACAAGAGATAGCAAGAAAGCATTGTTAAAATTATATTTTTTTTGCCTCAGAATAAAAAAAAAATTAGTTTTCAGTCCCTAGAGTATGCTTCTTTGGGAGCTGAGTCCAGAAATTCGATTAAGTCACAAAAAAACATTTTAGGACAAGTTACGACCAATATTTTTCATCACATTGTCTTATATTATAGCAGAAAATACAAAATATAGCCACAGTAACACCGAATTTAGGTTATGTAAGAAACAAGAAATAGTTATTTGTGTATAGTGGACAAAGTGGCACTCGAGATCATTCCTGTAAACTTTGCTCTCGTGTGCAGCAAAGGCCTTTTGCACTCGTCTTACACATTATATTTTTCCTACAGTCACGATAAAGCATATAAATAATTAGTCTTTCAAACATTATACAACACGTTTTTAGGTTCAGCTGGCAACACAAATAAGTGCCCGGTCCGTATCACTCCAACATTTTTCCTCGGCAAGAAATGTGCTCCGCGACTTGAGAATATAGTTCCGTATGTTTTTGTAAATTTGAAGTGGTTTCCGCACCTAAAAAAATGCTTTAAATGTATTTTCTTGTTTATTAAGATCGTAGGAATGTTTGAAAAACGTTTAAAAGAAAAGTCCAGAAAGTCCAGAAATACCGAAACTATAAACACGAAATGACAGGTTAAATCGTAGTTATAATAGTCAATCAGCTGCTCACAGTATTGTTATCTTTAAGTGTTGCCAACCTATTACCATTGACTATAATGTAGTCAATGCTATCACCAAGCCTACACGGATTACGTCAATTACGTGCATAATAGAACCACGCTGTTTTGTGTTGTTTCGTTGGAATCTTGATGTGCGCCAAAGTAAGCCCCCCATACACTATCGAACATGCCACCCGACCTGACAACCTGACCTGACGACGGACCCATCATCCAACCTGACTTATGTCGGGTGTTTCCCACACACTATCGAGCATGTTACCCAACAAGTCAGGTGAAATATTAGTTCTGAGATGGATTTTGAGACGACTGTTAGCTGTTTCAGGGGGATTTTTAGCGATGATTTTATGGATTTTTAGAGCCTATCGAACCAAGATCTTAAATTTTCAATTTTATTTTTAACGAACTTTAAATCACACTCTGGATACAGTTCCTTGCACTTTTCCATCAGGATATCGTGCCCCTATGTGCATGTTTGTTGCAATAGAGTTTACTTTTGACATCCCACAACGCCTTCTGGTCTCTGTAGAATTAAATAAATTCTGACCATAACTGTTTATTATTATTAAATGACATTACGGAAAAATGGTACGGTTATCATTCACAACTCGCTAAATACAAGTTAACTGGAAACTGTGGCTAGTCTACTGTTTCCCACACACGGTCCAGGGTCCAACATGTCAGGCGGACGGCTCGAGTCGGGTGGTGCTATCGGACCGAGCATCCGACCTGACATATCCGTCGAGCATGTCGGGTCGGAACCCACACACTGTCCAATATGTTCGACAAGACGTCGGATCCCGACATGTCCGTCCAACATGTTGGATAGTGTATGGGGGGCTTCCGTCTAAATATGCAGCATTTAGCAGCTTTCTGTACTAACTTATAAACAGTACAAGGAAGCCAACTTTAACGGGTGACTGTAGGAAAAGTTTGTTTTCCTACAGTCACCCGACAAAGTTGGCTTCCTTGTACTGTTTATAGTACAGAAAGCTGCTAATTGCTGCATATTTATACTTTGCCGTACGGTTTATACTTTGTCGTACGGTTTATACTTTGCCGCACATCAGGATTCCAACGAAACAACACAAAACAGCGTGGTTCTATTATGCACGTAATCCGTGTACGCTTGGAGATAGGTTGGCAACACTTAAAGATAATAATACTATGAGCAGCTGATTGACTATTATAACTACGATTTAACCTGTCATTTCGTGTTTATAGTTTCGGTATTTCTGTACTTTCTGGACTTTTCTTTTAAACGTTTTTAAAACATTCCTACGATCTTAATAAACAAGAAAATACCTTTAAAGCATTTTTTTAGGGCGCGGAAACCACTTCAAATTACAAAAACATACGGAACTATATTCTCAAAACGCGGAGCACATTTCTTGCCGAGGAAAAATAGCGGAGTGATACGGACCGCGGGTACTACTTTTTCTAGGGCACCATTTGTGTTGCCAGCTGAACCTAAGAACGTGTTGTATAGTATTTGAAAGACTAATTATTTATATGCTTTATAGTGACTGTAGGAAAAATATAATGTGTAACACGAGTGAAAAAGGCCTTTGCTGCACTCGAGATCATTCCGCACTCGCCTGCGGCTCGTGCGTAAACATTGCTCTCGTGTGCAGCAAAGTGCCACTTTCACCACTAGTTACACAAATAACTATTATATATTGTTAACATCTAAAAATAGACCCGCCTTTTGGGTTTCAAGTTAGGGACCAGAATTAAATACTCTTGAGATGACGGATAAACCTTTATATACTAACGTTTTGACCCATTAAATTATAATTTACAGCTAATTGTATTGCTGATAATTCATTAATGCAATCACTAATCAGATAAATTCACCTCGTACAAACAGGATAACATTATACGATAGGCCAAGGAAGCAAGTTTCGAGTTTGGTTAATGAAATGCAGTAGCCTAAAAAATGATTTTTTTTCTTATAAATTAGACAATGAAACATCTTACTAATATTATAAATCTGAAATTTTGTGAGTTTGTATGTGTGTGTGTGTTGCTCAATCACGCATAAACTACTGGACGGATTGGGCTGAAATTTGGCATGATGATAGCTCACATTCCCGATTAACATTAAAGCATATTCTTATCTCAAAAACCCTTTCGGGCTCCGCCCCAGTGGCTCTGTAGTTCCCCATGTTAATCTTACGATTTTTCACCAAAAGGTGAGTGAGCGTAGCGAACGAACTTCAACCTGGAGGCGAGTTAGCATAGCGAACGAGCTAACCTGAAGGCAAGTGAGCGCAGCGAACGAGCTCCAACCTAAAGGTGAGTGAGCGTAGCGAACGAACTTCAACCAGGACGTGAATGAGCGTAGCGAACGAACTTCAACCAGGACGTGAATGAGCCATTCGAATACTTATGAAGTTAAACGGGGCGAAGCCCGCGGGTACAGCTAGTAATGAATAATTTTATTTGATCTTAAATGGACATTCTTTCGTAATTAATACAACACGGCCCCTAATGCCTAATTATTGATTGCCAGTTTGTTTGTTTTGATTTAACCTCAAAATTTGACAGGTATAAACACATGATCTCACTACAGCCAAATAGGTTCATCTTCAGATATTCCACCACACCTTAACTGCTTCTAGCTAAAAAAATCCAACTGTACGCAGTTCAATAATACTAGTATCATTCATTTGATCAAAAGAGTATGGAAATAATTTTGTAGAGATACAACTTCCATAGATAAAAGGAGTATGTCTACTCCTTTTATCTATGCTACTTCGAAGCAGAGATTTACACGTTTGTGATTCCTCATAGTTTTTCATCAATGTAAGGATTTTTTAATTTCTAAAATGTATATGAATTGTATGCTTTGAGCTATTGACACTGAAACTTACCAACAAATACATGAAAAGTTTAACGTTTTACATTAAACAAGATTTACTTGAACTTAGATATTGTTAAATTGTATCCCGATCCAATAACAAAATACCAATGTACCAAATTAGTTCAGTTATGTCAGGCAGTAATTTTCTCAGTAATAAAACATAATTTCTTTTATCAATAATTATTAATTTTTTGTAACCTTTACGATCCGATACAAGACAATATGCTGCAAAGAATTGCAACGTAAACTAGTTTAGCGAACCGCCAACAGATTGCAGCTCTCTGGAGTTTCCAGGATTCTGTCCATGAGAATTCTTGTGAGCCAAGTACAGTACTGAAGTTTTATTTAAACCATTAGGAGTGCCACAATAAATGACTAAACATGTTTTTGTTGTCACTAAACCAAGAACTGTGTCTGAATCTG